TGCGAGGATTAAGAAATCCGCTCACGTAGAACGCCGTAAAGATGAATGCACCGCATTGTTCAGGGCAATCACTACGAGTGGCAACATAGCGCTCCAGCGCTTCGGCGTCTCAGCCCAAACGGTGCCAAGAACGTCTATGTGGCTCAATTCACGCGCTCAGTTTGACTAGCGGTCTGCAGATGGTCCGCTTTTGATATAGTCAACTTATTGTCCATCCCCCTGAAGATTGTAGACCAAAACTCCCTAGTAAAGCTTGGATCTCTATCAATGACAATTGACTCCGAAAGTCCATTTTGTCAAAGACACGATGCACAAGCAGCTTCGCTGTACTCACATCGTCGATGGTTTTCGGCACTGCCGTGGAATGGGCCATCTTGCTCAAACGATCCCCAAAGACCATTATACCCGTGTTGTCCGCCGAGTCCTTCGGCAGAGCAAAAACACAAACTTCATACTGATGGACCGCCAAACCCGGAGGGTACCGGTAAACTGGCCAGCGGCGCCGCCGCATTCGGAGAGAATTTTACCCTCTGACAAGTCTCACACGTGCGCACATATATGTGCTCGTCCGCTTGCACAGCTTGGGTCACCAAGAGTGGCAACTCACAGAGCTGTACGACCGAGGTAACCAGGTGACCACTGAGTGGGGTATCGCGGGTCTCATAGAGGATACGGTTTTCAAAATCCTCATCATAAGGAACAACAATTCGTGACGTATCCGTTGAATCGGTGATATAATACAGCAACCCGTTACTCAATAAATATCGGTGTAAATGTGCGCGCAAACGCGCCAACAATTTCTTGTCCGAGTTTCCAAATATCTTGCTCCCGAGAGCCTGTAGAAGCGCTACAACAATACGTTCACCCGCGCATGCGGCGCGGATCAAATCCGTCACTAACTACGTCACCGTCGTGACATGAGCAAGCTCATAGTCCGGTTTGCATGACAACGCATCAGCCAAAGCATTCTGCTTTTCTGGCTTATACTTCACATTCTGCAAAAATGAGAGCCACCTGGCCATCCTCTGCGAGAAATGAGGCGACTGAGTCGCAGTGCATAGTGACGCATGATCTGTGTAAATCACATACGGCTTTGAGCCCAGCAGGTGCACGCTGAACTTGACTACTCTATAGCAAGATAAATCTTGTCATGGACTAGGTAGATCCTCTTCGCAGCCATAAGCTGGCGAGATTCGAACGCGATCACCCGATCTCGTCCCTCGGCGTCTACTTGCAGCAGTGCACACCCGATGGCAAAGTCCGAGGCGTCACAGACGACACTTAAAGGACGATCGGGCTTTGGCAACGCCAGTTTTGGTGCATGAAGGAGGAATCGACCAGTTCACAATGGCCTTGACCTTAGCGGGATCCACTCGAAGGCCACGCTTTTCAACGAAGCACCCTAAAATGGGTGTTTTCTTCGGCGCCGAAGATGCACTTATCTGCAGTAGCATACAGCTTATTCGTGCGCATTCATAGAGCATTGCTCTCAAATAGACAATGTGGTTCATATGTCCTCCCGTGCCCCACACGGCTGTGGATGTAGATGACGTCAAAGTATGTTTGTGCATACGCCCGGTAGGGCCTAAACAATTGCGTCACACAACGATAATATGTTGCTGGTGCATTTGACAGCACGAAGGGCATCACCAGCCACTACCAGAGCATTTTGCTCGGACTACTCACCGCTGTCAGCGAAATATCACTTGCTCTCATGAGCAATCGGTATTACGCATCGACAAAGTCGAGCTTGCTGTCATATTTTTCTGGAGAACATCCTTCCTAATTATCAACGCCTGTGTCGGAATGGTGACACCGCTGAGCATGTTGTAAACTTGAACGATACGCCACGTGCCGTTCGGCTCCCGGACACAAAACGTCGGAGTCGAACTGGGAGACTTACGCTCACGCACCATTTCTGCGTCGTGTTTCGCACGGAAAAAGGCATCAATTACATCACACTGCTCTTTGGGCAGGGGACATTAGCGTGTTACGCAGTATTAAGTTCCCGGAACCAGGTCGATCTCGTGATGCACACCTCGGTTCGGAGGTAGTCTTTGGAGACGACGTCTCGAAATTCCTGTATCAAAGAATAGTACGGATCCGAGGGATCGACGATCCGATCCGTGCGTTCAGCACCCTCTCAGTGTTCCCCAGAACAGCTTCATCCAGAAGCGACGACGAGATAACCTTCTTGTTCGGTCTTAGAATAACCACCTCGGCTAAACTGCCTGCCTTCAAGGCGCCGCTAAATTTGTCGAAGGACATCTCATTCAGCACAAGAAGATAAACCACCGCGAGAATAGCCTCGAGGGTGACGTCGCCGTCTTCCTCCCACGTCAAACTGTTGACAAGGGTATATAGCTGCGTGCTATCGTCTACGGTAGACACACCCTGGATCAGGGTCGACAGCTGCATCTTGCAGATATCATACGGCTTAGCCGTCTCCTCTCTATAGAAGTTTTACGTCTCATCGAGGCCAGTGGGAACACGCACTCGGCATCGTCCAGTATCCCCACTTTTATTAATTGAGTCGAACGCAGAGGATTAGAAAGAAGATGGCTTGTGGTCGAAGAGGTAAAACCAAAAGTGATGTATTTAAGACCCAGTTCGCACTACTGCTACTTCTAAGCTTACTTACAATATCTACATACGCAACCATGAAGAACATTCGGAGAATATTCTGCACCCACTATCTGCACCCATTATAATCCCACTCTGAACTTATATTAATGGGTTATGCATCCACAGTAACGGGTTATGAACCCTTTCCAATCACCTTCAACAACTTGCGCAGCCGCAGCCACAGCATCACCATCAACACTCTCCCTTGATGCGTGCGTGCATGTGTATGATCGTTCTATGCTGCTAGGCAAAGACTGTAGACGAAGCCTGCATGCTTGACTCGACCAAGCGCCGTTGTCAGTCCGTCGTCCATGTCTTTTGCTGCACCACTGATTGGATCTCACTTTCCATTGCACACAGCCACTCCTCTCTGTATTTGCTTTGCTGCACTTGTTCGAACGTCGACGTCGCTCTCGCTGTCATCTTCAGCGCTGAAACAGTACAACGCGTCGTGCTTGGCTTTATAGTAATCCAGGCTGAACTCTCCGCGCCGCAATTTGGGAACTCATGCTCGTAGCGCAATACTCCTGCTTCTTGCGCACCGGTCGCACATGCGACTCTTTCTCAGTGTCGCGTCCTGGTGTAGTTGAACGTTGTGTTGGCACAGCGACTCTTGAACGCCCATTCAGCACTTCCTCGACACGTGTCGATGTTCTCTAGGTTCTGTTGGTGGAGTCTGGTAACTCTCCCTGGCTTTTGTACCGCTTGGCTCTTGATCATGCTCATCATCCCCTACGACGTCGATCAGACTTGGCGCACCCTGTCTGTGAATTTTTATTGTTGGCGCGTTCTTCGCAAATGCCACGCTGCTCGAAATAATAACTGCTTTCATGCTTATATTCAGCAAACGATACGCCTTGTGCTGCTTTGAGTAACCGAGCATCAGACAGCGTACGCCTGAGTTGTCGAGCTTTCCCCGCACTGCCTTGGCTGCGTGCGCGAAGCACTGGCTGCCGAACCCGCGCATATGCTGAATGCGTGGCTTGCGTTTGAAGACGAGCTCGAATGGGCTCGCGTTTGGACTCGAAGCACTTGGTACCACGTTGCGGATGTCCACAGCAGTCATCATAACTTTGCATTAATAGACCTTGCTCATCTTGGATTCCCTTAGTATGGAGCGAGTCATCTCGATCAACGTGCGATTCATGTGCTCTGGGTTGTGTGGCACCGTGAACACTAGCTTGACTTTTTGTCTTCGACAGAAGTTCTCCATCTCTGAGTTTCGATACTCGCCCCCATCGTCGCACTCAAGCTTGATGTCGTGGTAGTATTTTTTGAGCGCCTCCGGCACGTCGCTTTTCTTGCGTAGTGGGTAGAATCTTACAAAGCGACTACGCATCGCAATGAAACTTACAACATAGCGGTGTCCGGACTTGGATGCCGGTGAGATACACACGTCGCACACAGCACTTGCATCCATTAGTCGCCATTAATGTGTCCGCACTTGATTGGTCTGTTCACCGTCGTGTAAGAAACGCGCCCAAGCCGGCGGTGCCACAGCTCGGCCTCATCTTCGAATGTGTGGCACTCAGCGCTCGGCTCAACGTCTAGGATCATGAGCATGCCACGCCTCGATCCCGTCTCCGTTTTGTTTTACGACGCAGCCGTTGCAAGAGATCTCGACCTTCATCCCACGCGCTGCTGCCGCTGTTAGCGAATACAGGCTCTTTGTTAAGTCTTGCACGTGTAACGTATTCTCAAGTCGCGCTTTCGTCCATCTTGTGCCATTTCGGCATATTCTAAAAAAAAAATTTCACTAATACTAAATGTATGCGTTTCTGAGTTTTAAGTTTCAACAGTTCTTGCCTTGCCTGACCTGCATCGATCCAAATCATGTCCAGTATGACAATTATATTATTGAAGGTTCTAGGTATCTAGAAATTGAGAGATTACAAGCAAAAGCGTTCTGTTCAGCATGTGAGACAAGACGAGGACATCTCATGACAAATGTGCAACGTCACCGTGCCCTGTTCGAGCATCTTCAATTGTGCGCTGCTTTTTGCACTCGATACGATGCGCGCCGTCGTAGCTGCCAAATACTCGACAAACGCTTCAAGTTCTTTGCACATATGTGCTGTAGCGCCACTGTCCACTACCCAGCAGTTGCCCGCGCCTCTTCGCTTGCGCTGAGTGCCACGTTTGAGTAGTTTTCATGCTGGTTGCCGTTGCCACCGTTACCGCTAGCCTTCGCCCAGCAGTCGCGCGCGTAGCGTCCGCGCTTCCCGCAATGGTAGCACTGAACTTTCGCTTCGTTTTTGCGCTGACCGCCACTCTTTCTGGTGAACTGGCGCTTTTCGTGTTGCTTGCCCACGTGTAGCGCTCTCAATGCGGCATGATTCCTGCTTGCGCACCTCCTCGGCGATCAGCTTGCTTACGAGGTTACTAAAGCTGAATTGAGTCACGTTCATGCGATATACCTGCACCAGGCTCTCGTACGCTGCTGACAGGCTGCGCAGCATCGTCGCGCACACATCCTCCTCATTTGGCTCACAATACGCGCTTCTCATCTGCAGTACTAGTTGCTCTAGCTCCATCACGTGCGCGCTCATGTCCTTTGCCGTATACTTGAATGAAGCAAACTTCTCCTTGAGCCATATCCGGCTTGCCATGTCCTGCGTTCGATAAAACCCCCTCCAGTGCTGCCCAGGTTTCGTGAGCAATGGTTGCATTAATGACGTGAACCAGCTGGAGTCCTTCAAATTGAGCACGATCGCAGTATGCCCTTGCTGCTCCTTCATCGCCGTGACGCCTGCTCCACCAAGCACTGCATCCCACAGTCCCTTGGACATAAGGTACATCTTGATCTTGAACGCTTAAAGCGCGTAGTTTGACCGGTCGAACGGTTCCATTTTGAGCGTAGCGTCCGAATTCGGGCTCATAACCTCTTAATAATTGAGTCGAAGCTCTTGTCGAAGAGGTAAAACCAAAAGTGATGTATTCAAGACTTAGTTCGCACTCCTGCTACATCTAAGCTTACTTGATTTATCTACATACGCAACCATAAAAACATTCAAAGAATGTTCTGCACCCACTATCTACCCCCATCATAATCCCACAGTGAACCCATGTTAGTGGGTTGTGTATCATCAGTAACGGGTTATGAACCCTCTCTCACCACCTTCAACAATTCGCGCATAACACACAGCCGCAGCATCACCTCCATCACCCACTCACTGGGTTACGTGCCACTCCACGTTCAGCCCGCGAGCCACGCTCGGGGCTCTCGTCCAATACACCTTCGGTGTTTGACAATTCGGATACTTCGATATCTAGAACATTGACCGTCCCGGCCCAGTGGCTGTGCTAATAGCGCTTCTGTATTCTAGCTGAGGTGGGTTCTTGACTAACCAAAGTTTCTCTAGGAGACGTGCGCGTAGCGCACAAGGTCTTTGACCCCCAATCAAATAATGACTCATGGTGTTCCAACCATGCCATACCAAGGATAAGGTCATACCTTGCATCCATTTGTGAGACTAGAGAGAGTTCCACGCAATTTAAGCCAAAGAGTTCGACACCAAGGTCCACAGGGACCCTCGCTAAGCCAATCGTGACGGTGTAACTCAATCGCGCTTCCAGCGCCTCAGCATATAGCTGACTTCCTTCGATCATGGAGCGTCGAGTATATTTGCCCGACGAGCCAGAATCGATAACGATCTTTCATGGCTTATCCAAGCCCTTTCGGTCGCCTTTGCAACCAGCATGCCCGGCTTGTACACACGTTCCGTGTTCAAGAGCACGCAGCTCTTCGAGGCTGGGCCCTGCTTCCCTCTACCTCTTTGAGGCTCAACACAAATCAGTTCCCCCCCAGTAGAGAGCCCCGCTCCTACTGGGTGGTCTCGTTTTCTCGTCGTATAA